TGGTCAGACGATGTTTCAAATACCTGTGTTCTCGTGGAGGTTTTATATTTTTGTCTGGGTGGCTTGTGATTGAAATTTACCCCTCAGGGCCAGACGCCGCATTATAAACTTTTATTTCAATTTCGCTGACATAGATATAGTCACCGGGAATTTGAGCGTATTAAATCAGTACGAAAGTAAGCGCATTCGCAGAACTTGATCTTATTTTGGCCAAATAATGAGTTTGTTTACCTGCCCTCATCCTCCGTACTCTCCTGATACTCCTCCGAATGTTAATCACCTTCCCCTGGCAGCATAAATATCCCGACCACATGTGAAATGGCGTAGACAGTTGGGAAGTAAGGGGGAGATGGAAGCGGAATTGGCAAGGGCTGATTTTTTTTCCTTCTGGTGACAAGGCGTTGCTACTGTTCTATGTCTCGTTGGAAGAAGTTGATAGATGACAGTGGTAATTAGTTTAACCCGCAAATTACATTTTAGGAGGTTTTCTGCTTTTTAATTGACACTATTTTTTGTATTATCACTACGCAGAACCATCAAACTTAGTGTTACCTCACAGTTTATTATATTACCTCACACTTTATAGTATCAATTCGTTAAAAAAATCCTCCTCATTTCAACACTCATTCACAGGTCCCTTATTTACGGCATTTTGACGTCTAAAAGACGTGTGTACTACTTGATATGAAATTAGAGTAAGAGCTCACTTTCCGATTTGTAAACTTATTCAGTTGGTGCAAATTGAGGCTGCAGCCCTTTCTTCTAAACCGCCTTTTTCATTTTCAATTCAAAAGATGTTTTAGTCGAGGCTGTTATTACAGCGTTTTTATTTCTAATAGTCCAGATGCTGCATTGGCAACACGGAGGCCTTTCATCCCACCGTGGAAGCTTCGAAGTATTCTGCTTTTCACTCATTTTGTATGCTTCATAGTTTTCCATTTTATGAAAACATTCTCGTAGCTACTGAAGATGAGTTGGGCAAAGATGATCCAGTGCTGGAAGCCTTCGGTTCGATGCCATCTCTTTCTTCAGCTTTGAGGAAAAAAAGGATGCTGTCCTCTTATCAAGCATCAGGTCGAAATTCAAACGATGAAAATGATGCAACTCAAAAATCGTGTGGTACGTTTCGGTGAATGTTTAAATTTCGACATAACTTGTTTGTCGAATTTTCGGCATTATGTTTTTCGGTGTTTAAGAAATTCCTGCAAATAAATGCATTGTCTCAGTAAATTAGAATACAAACTGCAATCCAACCAAAGGCTTTAGATGTATGTAAATCGTTTGGCTTAAGTACCTACATATTCCGAGGACTTCACTTTTCTCCCAGTTTGTGTGCTCATTGCCAATTTGTCGGTTTTGGGTTCACCAAGTGCTTGAATAGCAAGCTTATATTTCGCGTTTACGAATTTTTTTTTGTAAATTGGCGCCTCCTGTAATTGTTCTAATTTTTTATTTTCCTTTGCATTTAGCGATAAGGCTCTCAATGCATACACACCTGTACATTCATGTTCTTGTGCCAGTAGTTTGTTGCTACTAGCTTCATTTTAATGTTGAACCTTTGTAATGACAAGTTCGGATTATCGTACTTTTCCTTAAATTCTAACATACTAATTTTGAAGTGAAGTCGAATGGGAGGGTAATTTTAGACTTCCATGAAATCAATGCTTCGCTAATTCGTTTGACTAACCGAATTTGGAATTGATATTAAAGTTAGGAAGTTTTTTCGGCCTTAGTGTACTTAAGATTTTAAATGGCCGAGGCCATAAGCTCTTACATGTACTCTACTGAATCAATTTTCCCCTGACTTGGCTTCTTTTTGATTTGTATTATGAAACAAATTGTTTTCTGAAATTGTGCTTGTGTTTTTCTCTGATCCTGTGCATTGAGTTGACGAAAGCCAACAAGTTTCTCTCAGTTCGTAAGTAGATCGTTTGTCGCTGGCAATGTACTATTTCCTCATAAGCAGTAGGAATACGTTTTGACCTTGGAAGTCGGATTCACGATGGAAGTCCTTGTCAAAATAATTGCCTCCTAAAGTTTTATTTCAGTAAAGGCCGTTTGCTGATTATCGAATCACTGTACTCAGGATTTAGACCTATTAGAATAGTGATACTGAGAGCTAATCACATGTTCTTACGGCTTTGTCGTGATTTATCAATTGAATACTTGCTTGTTACCAGATTTATAATTTGGTGAATGCTTCAGGGTTGCCGCTATCCACTTGTCAATACTCCCGCTTAACTAGTCATTGAGAGGTATTTCCACATTATCGAGACGTTTGATGATATTCCTTACTGATCTCTCACCCAATTCATCACCAGATCCAGTGCTTGCACCGACTCCTAAGAACCCCGACACTTTACTGGACTCCACAACACAAGAAAGGGAGAATCTAGCTCCGGATATTCGCAGTCCTTCCCGATCGTCCCCTACCGATGGCTTTTTATCTAAAGAAAAAAACAAAAAGGTCTGTCGAGTACTCTTTGATACTGTGAAATCGGCTGACCACTAAAGTTTGGATAACCAGTATTCACTACTGCCTTCCAGATAGCAAGTGGGAGCGAGAACGATACAAATGTTTTTCTTTTCGTTGCTAACATAAGATAATATGGATTGATGGTTTTATTTAATCTATTAGATGTACGTTGATTAGGCAGCATCAACAGGTTCGTTCTCTTGTTGTAACTTGATTCAGTTTCGATTCAGTGGAGTATTATTTTTCTTTTTCTATAAAATCATTAGTCTTCATTGTTCGTGGATTCGAGTTGTGCTTATTCATTCCACTGTTTTGTTTACATACGATCGGCTGCTTGTGTAAAAACTACAGGTCGTCCATAAAATTACATTTAAATCTAGATAGAAAAGGGTTTTCTTGCATAGGTTCTTCGCCAGGTTTCCATCTTGTTTAACTGAAGCCGTTTAAGCGACTTCTACATGTGATAATAAGATACTCCGAGGTAGCGTTTAAGACGGCCTTCATCTGCTTTGTAGGTCAGTTAAATTCTCTTCTGCCTTATCAGTCTAATTTCGAGGAAGCTGGGCAACTTGCCCATCCTTGTTATACATTGATCCTGCTATCCCAAGTGCAGTTTGAATGACCTAGCAAGAAATTTGAAACCAAGTTCTTTTTATTCCTTGGACTGCCGAGTAAGCAGTAGGCGATCCCTTTGTAATTTCGTATGTCAAAATTGTGTAGTTCAAGTTGTCATTGCCTCCATGGCCACAAACATCACTCCATCATTTTCCCCTTACATGATAGGAGTTGTTAGCAACTTTTCTTACCTTATTTCAAAATTTACTCACTTTACCGGGGTCAGGTTCGGTTTTTTAAATTCTCGTGTTTTTTGGATGAACTCGCATCGTAATTAAAGCTAAAGGTGAGGAAGATCGCGTTTGTTTGGGAAGATGATGTGATGTGCCTGTGTTTTCCAGACCCGCTTTATTGTGTGTAGCGCTTAATTACCACTGTATGCGTATTAGTGGAATAGTGTGGCGCCATTTCCGCGCATGCCCACTTCATCCCACATATTTCTTGGTTGTTGAGTCACACTAATAAAGATAGCTATGGTACTTACACACTGAAGTTTATTCTCCATTAAAAAATTTGTTCTGGGCATAACTAATTCCGAAAAATTTCCTTTTTATAATCAAATCTAAAAACCATCACTAAAATTGTTATTATCTATTTTGTATTTAAACGAACTACAGAATTTCGTTTCATACTTAATGAGGGTGGCTATTTTGTTAAAAGACCTTTGTGCTTCCTTTATGACTACCGTTTTGGTCGGCGTGCATAATTTTATGAGTTGGTTGGATTTCCCACTTAACAGACCCTTAATACATTGAATGTTGATTTGTAATCTTATGAGCATTAGTAAGGCATATGATCTTGCTGACATGAAATTGCTTTCCGTGTTATTTCAGTTTGCAGGGACTGCGTTGTATGCTTTGCGCTAAAGAATCCTAAAGGTCTTAGGGGATGTACCGGCTAGCCAGCTTTGATATTTCTATGCCCTATTTGTCTGGCGATACATTCGCCGAACTGTCCTCTCTCGCTTTCATAGGAGGACAAATTTTACTCTGCATTTTAGCTCAGTTCCGCCGATGATGACGATGTCAATGTGAAGACCAAGGTTTGTGTGTTGGTAAATGATGCTGTTTTGCCAAGAAAATTGGCAAGACCCAGGACTGAACCTCCACCTGTCGATTTCAAGCGGTTCACCAAGGTAATTTGGTTTTATTGTCTAAGTTTGTAAATATGTCGATGGTCGTCTTCAAGGTTCTAGGTAAGATTCTGAAAGGCAGTGATTGCGTTAGTTTCCTTCGAAATCAACAGCAATTTGTTACGGCCAAAGGTTGATTTTGTTGGTTTGTTTGTTCACCGTAATCACACAATCGATGGAATTAGTTTAGAAAAGATAACATTTTAGTAGATGGAAATTATTGAAATATTTAAATGTGAGAATTTAACTTAATAAATTTTTGTCTTCTCTAGGCATTTGGTAGTGAATTTACTGAGGTTTGTGCCCCGTTTCCTTTAAAAGTAGCCTGAAGCAATATGTATGATTCTTGACGTATTACTGACTTTTAAAAAGTAATCAAACACCTATAAATCTGCCCTCGTTAGTTGTAAGGTTGGCGTCCACCATCAAGCCCACTCCTATCGTGCCTTTATTTCATCTTCATTTGTTTGTCACCGTGGTAACTTCCAAATTTTTGAGTTGTAAAGATTGCGCTAGACGGCTTATATTCATAAAATTTATAGATGTGGACTGAAGTTTTTGTACCCATTAAAGAGATATACTAGTTTTTTATGAATTTCTACTAAGTTGGGATTGACGGCAGTGACCATTACGTTAATTTAAGATCTTTTGTCGGTGCCTTTTATTTGGAGGAGGTTTATAGGCGGGCTAAGTCCCTATCAGCCAGATATTTTCGGACTCACGCTAATGGATTTTATGTCTCATTTAAACATTACGTTTACTTTATAATAGATCTTGCTACTACTGGGGATGATAAAATTACTTTAACGAATCGAAGGGATGGGTTGGAAAACACCTGGCATTCGACCGTGTTTGCGAGAATAGAATCGCAACTATTGAATCGTCGTGTGTAGTGGATGCTTCCTGGTGAAGACGCAATCTCTGCAAGGTTGAGGAGAGCACTTGTGAATTCATTTCGACAATTGATCCATAAAAATCTTACAGGGGAGTAGCGAAGCATGATGGAACAAAAGCAAAGAACAAGGCCATAAGGGAGAAGGAAGCATGAAAGCGAAGACGCTTAATAAAGCAAGATTGTTCTGGAAGTTTCTCATGGTGGGGCATCAACTATTTTCCATTTTTTACCCTCTTTAAAATGCAGAACTAATTAAAAACAGGGAAAAGACTATGTCCTAGAGCGGTTGGTCACGCTTAGAAGCGCCTATATCGGACAGTTGCTTACCTACGAAGATTGATGCAAAATCCTAACCACTTGGCTGTGCGTTAATATTAAGATACGCTATTTTAAGAAAGATGCTTCCAAATGAAGTTGAAGTGACAAAGAGTCCTTGTCATCCTTTCTCCGTATTAATTTTCACAAACTGATTAAGAATTTCCATCATTTATTTCTCGTCGATTTTTGAGAACTTTCAGTTACCATCATTATCTCTGCAGTCTTTTTCCTCAGAGGCGCGTCGTGTCACTTATTGTGGTCTTCGAAATTAATTGTGCCTCAAATGATTGCTTGGTGATCTGTTAAAAAAAACGACTCTACTTGGGGGCCATTTTGGCCCGAATTCACATTTCTGCCTTCATTTATTGATGATAATGACTACTGTTTAACTTATTTGAGATCTGATTTTGGGCTGTTATTGTAAGTTAGCTTTGAAGATTTCTTTTCCCATCTACTTGAAAGTGAATCACACTTTCGCCACCGGGGTCTGAGAGGGCAATCAATTACCCTCCCAACCGGGCGCCTTACGGTTCTATTATAACACCAATTGGCATGAATTTTGTGGGATTTGTATATAACATGCCAAATGGGTGGTATAAGTAATTTGCAAACTGACGCGTGTACTTTATCGCCCCAAAACCCACCAATCCGTTTGCTATACAATTTGTTGTAACTATTTATCATTAACTACTGCATAGCGATGCCAAGCTTGGAAAGGAAAGTCGCGGCAAGCCTGTTAGATATGTTCAATAAACTTGTTCCTGACGAATGCATTTATGTGGGAGATTTCTTGATTGGTTTCAATCGCAGATACTTTTAACTAGTAAGAATTTATGCAATGAAATCCGCGTTAGTGCATTTTATTTATAAGGTTAATAATTTTTATATTTATCTGTCCAATGGCTCTTATATGCATCTTAGAAGTGTGACGTGCCTTCCAGCTTGAGTTAAAACGCGTGGGATACCGCCTGTACTGCCTTGTAATTCCAGTTTCGGCTTTTGTATCAGCTTCTTGCAAATGTGATAGGACTTCCTCCTCCAATACCCTACTATTTTGCTAGTGCTCTTAAAAACGAGCTTATTTTTAAGAAGGCATTCTGTTTGTGCCATCGTTGAATGTCGCTCTAATTTCCCTTAGCCTGCTAATAACGGGAATTCTGTTTGTTTCTCTGTCTGCGACTAGGCCCAAGGGAGGAATAAAGAAGTCTGAATAAGTGAATTACACCTCTGGGCCCAGTTTTGGTGCAAGTACCGATAGTCCAGTTATATATTCCAGTCTAACGGCTATTTTAATTGTAAACTCAGCCAGTGTGCCATGTAACTACCGATTTTGGTTTCATTTGGGAGCTATTTTCCTTTGATATTTTCGTCAGTTATCAACCCAAAACGGTACACAGAATACCTGCTACTTTCCAGCGAATCCTAATGAGGTGTAGGCGAATTTATAAGGAAATTGGTTCTAAAAGTAGTTCTATTTAAGTAGTTTGGCTCTAAATTGTGTTGTTTTGAGGAAAATCTTTTAGATTATCCGTTAAGACCCTTATGTTAATCCTCAGAAGTCACATTAATCCAAATAGCTCTTTGAGGGTTCGCGTTGACGGAAAACCATTTTTGGCGATCGAAGCATGAGGTATTTCCAGAAAAAAAGTCTTGCATCCAATTTAGCAAGTTTTTTTGTCGTTTAGCGCTTTGACCGCTAATTCCTTGCTGACTAAGGAGTTCACTTCCAAACTTGATTCTTCAACTTTGAGTAGTAATTTAAATATTATATGATTAAAAATTTGGTGTGTGACTTCTCTATGAATTCATGTTTATTTTACACTATGACAATTTTTTCCGGCATAAGTTTGAAGGGCATGGGCATTTCTGTCCCTTTATTTCCTTATCCTATAATCTAATTTTTATCTCTAGGTTTGGCCCACTTGTTACGAGGGAGTATTGGGTGGAAAGAGGAGGAACAACACTGGGTCAAAATCGCCAATTGGAGTAACTCTGGTGCCATTTAGGTCGGATTCAAAAATGATCGCTGGACCTCTCAAGTGTCGTGCTGAAGATAGTCCCTCTCAACCGCTAAACGAGGATACCGCTCTCATTGACAAGCTCTTTGAGTGAGTTAGAAGACGGGACTTTCTATTTATGCGCAGTTTTAGTTGTGCGGACTTTCCTTCTAGCCAACTTACTCTCACATTTTCCATCATGATGTCTTTCTCTGCATTTCCTTTCCCCATGCAGAGGAGCAGCTCTTTCCACTTCCTACATAAGGAGACTGCTTTTTCCTCTCCACAAAAACGTCTCACAAGGCAATAGGAGGCGATGTGCATAAGGCGTGTGCACGTGGAGCAGGCTCTAATGATCTCCCGTGATTTATGTGTCGAGGCGACAAGGAGCTATTACTCGCGCCGCTGTCTTTGTGGTGTTCATTTTGCTGAAACATCAACCACCGTGATGCATGCGCACTTACGTCTGTAAGGTTTTGGGTCCCTTCAGTCTAGAATCGCACCCTCTGTTGCAGGAAGCTTAATTGTCATTTGCACCACCTCATTTCACCACACGAGATAGCATGTTCTTTTTTATAGCTGAAACAGCTAAGTTGTTTTCTTTGGATTTTAATTCTACTGAACTATCGTGAAAAATTGTTGACAATATCACAAATGTAATGCATAAAAAGACATCGGGAGTAGCTTCGGTGCGTGAGGTACTTATAGGAGTAGTCTCGTGAATAATGTGTAAAAACAAATCCATTGATCATGGTAATTTACTCAAATGGAATGAATTACTGCAACAGGGCTCCCGTATTTTAAGACATTTCGTCACAGATGCGCTTATATTTCTTTGCATTTTCCCCTTTTGCCTTTATTAACACTTTATGAGGACTTGTGACTTTATTTCGTTTTATTTAGTTAACAGTATAAAATGTTGAAATGTGGAAACTCTGCGATTATTTGCTCTGACGTGTTGTTTCCACTTGGAGTGGATCCCAATTTTTTTTAAATAAGTCTTTGCAATCTAGACTATGTAAACTTCCACCCATCAAGTCTTTGAATTGTTGTTGTTGTTGTTGTTTGCGCCTCTGGCTGCAGTTGAGTAAGATTTTCATTTTAGACCAACAGGGGAGCACATGCTATTCAATCTGCCTCCCAGGGCGAGCTGCGACTGCGCTCGTTTGTGATAAAAGTACAAGCTTTATATGTCGTACAGTCTAGTCCGGGGCAGGCATGCGCATGGAGCAAACTCGCATACTTTCTACATTGATTTACTGTTTTTTTGGTCAAATCTTTCCTTAAAATCGCTTTTGTTGCGCTCATCTACTTCTGCAAATCAAAATGCGTACTCTGTACCGGCTCAAATTTTTAAACATCGGAACTACAACCTTCTAATTATCCACTTGGGATCTGAGTAAAGCTTGCAATTTTAGCATACCAAATCAGGTAGATGCTTGCAATATGCTTCATTTTTCACCATAAATCATGTTCTGAACATCATGATACTTTTGCAATTTTTAAAATTTATTTCGAACGAGACATTCTGGAGGCCTTCATCTTGGTTTATCCCATCGTTGCAACGCTGGAGTACCATATCAAAATAAAGGTCCATATGTGCGACTAACTGGCACCACCGAGTGTGTTGATGTCCCTAGTCGAGACTTTGTTCAGTTCTTGTTAAAGCCGAAATCTGCGTAACCTGCAGTGTCATCAAAATCACATTTTTGCACAGACTTTCCTACTTCACCAAATAAACGTGCACGAGACCGATTAATCGCAAGAAACAGCGCAGTTGACTCCATTGTACACAAATAAACGTTTCCTGTCCCAACATTGGAAGGTGACATGCATTAGCATTTTTTATGTCATTTTGTTTTAATTGTACCTCATTTGGACCAAAATTATGCGGCTGGCACGGGGTGATAATCCCCGCTTTTGCGCCATCGCTAGGTGCACGATTTAGCACTCTCCCTCGCCTTGCTCGGCTAGATGTGTATGAGTTCAATAGAGAGTTAATAAACAAGTAAGTAAATAGGAAAATCAGTCCGTAAAATTTACTTAAATGAATAATTTTAGTGGATAAATATTTGTCTGCTTTGTCATCTTACTTGTTTGGCTGTTGCTAAACCTGGAGGATATGTGAATTTGCTCACGATAATTTTATAAGCCTTGCTTTTCTTTTTTAGCGAAATCACCGCTCTTCCCCGGATTCGTCGCCGGTGATCTGTTTTCTATTCCATTTCCTCGCCGTTTTAATTGATTCCACCTTCCCCTGGGTGCGAGTTCCGCATTTTGAAGTGGTGCCAAGCTGGGTTAGTTGCTAATACACTGTTGCGAAATTTCTAGGTGCTTCGAATAAAAAAAACAACCAATAGTCTTACTTGCATTTCCTGATTTTACATACGGATCATTTGTTGATCGGATCCTCCCTGTTGGTGGGCGTCTTCTTTCCGGCAAGCATCCTCGCTACCTTGACTGGTTATCGGTGGAATTAAGTGCCGCTTATTTTTACTGATATCTATTTCGAAAAACCGACTTAAAAGACCATGGATTCGGTGGCACCAAACGCGTTAAATCGTTATCACTTCCTGCCTACGTGAACTCTTTGGATGCACCGTGATGGCAGTCTGAAGATGTTTCCAAACGTGAGGCGGATTTCTCGTTGGTCATCCTTATGTGTCGGCCGAATCGCAAGCGACAGAAAAGTTGGTGTGATCATTTAAACGACCAAAGTCGATGCAGTTCTGGTACAGTGGTAAATGTGGGGTTGTTAGACGACTCAGGCGATTTATTCCAAACTATCTCAGAAACCTACGTGAGAGTAGAGTTGACTTGGCAGCTGACTTTGCTGGCTCGTGCGCTGTCGTCTGGCCAATTTTAAGCGCTGTGACGAGTCGCAATCTCTCAATTGGTGTTTCGGAAAGTGGATCTTGGCACTCTGCACCGTTTCCCACCTATTGAAGCGTATGTAGGCGTAAGCGGTGTCTAGGTGGAACCACACTATTCCGTTCCATTGAACCCACTAAGTCGATCTTGAGGCAGGCTTTGAGAGGTGGACTTGAGTGAGTGCGCCTACTTAGCAAGCACTTATCGCAGTGAAGTAAATAAATGTCTTGCTTCGGTAAATTGTAGAGCGGAAAGGGTATGGATTTTTCAAAAAACCTACATATTATTTTGTCGTCCGATAAATTGTAAATTTTGAATAAATGGATAACCATCAGGCCTGGATAGGCTGATGCAGCTGTGTGTGAATTCTCAGCTGAGATGGATTGACATCACGCATCCAGTATTTCCACTCAGGTGGAATGTCGGCAAAGAAACCGCGTGCTAGCTATTAAGTCCAAATGGAATAACTCGTGTAACCCTTCAGCAGCAGCAAGTTTTTGGTATCGCCAAATTGCCTTAAAGGAAATGTTGCAAATCACTTGAAGGGTGTCCGCAGTTAAACAATTTCCCCTGATAGCAGCTTCCCAGCTCTCTTCGGAGGTGGGGAGTAGTCGCAGTAGGCGTTCCCTCCGCCCCATCGATTTGTGGCCATGTCACTTTGATCACCTCGTGACCACGTGCGCTATCCTGGCGCGTGGTATAAGAAACACCAGCCCTCCACTGGGAGATGAGCAACGGTTGCAATTTTGTGTACACCCTACCCGAGTATGTGCTTGATCGAATCGTAATTATAAACGGTAGCCATGAGCACCGTGTAAGTGGATTTAAACTGGCCAAAGCCAGTGACTACTTCAAACGCCAATTAATTGAGCTTCGAAGGGGTGAGCTTGAAAAGTCACGAGTTCGAGAGGAGGAGGATGAGAAGCAAAAGCATTCCCGACGGGCTCGTGCTCGAAGTCTCTGCGATCTTCAAATAGAACCCCTCCACGTCAGTTATGACGATTTAAGCGGTTTCGAGATTATGCTGTCTTTTACTCACTGCTCTGACGAAGCTAGGAAAGATTTGACAAATACCTTGGACAGCCAAAAACTAGTCTCCGTTTTGAAAGCAGGATCCCATTTCGAAGTGCCGGATTTGGTTGAGTATTTTATTGATGCCATGAAACAAAAATTATCAACGCACAACGTTTGGACCTACTGGACCGCTTTAGAACCGATCTCTGAAATCGCACCTATCGTGGCAAATCACTGTCGAAATTTTTTGCTTAATCACTTCCTTGATACTTGTGCATGTGACGATTTCATTTTGCAACCATTCGAAAGGCTGGAGCCTCTACTGCGTGATGACGCATTGAACACCTCTAACGAACTAGATTTATTTAGGCAACTAGAAAGGTGGGTAACAGCTGATCCTTCAAAACGCTGTTGCCACATTAATGAACTTCTTGGTTGTTTGCGACTGGGTCGTTTGAATTTAGATGAGTTTAACCAACTTAAGGCTAGTAATCTTATGTCTGAATACTTGGATTGCTGCCGCAAAGTTCTAACCATCGCCCAGTCCATCATCGAATCCAACGGCGCCGGTTCCAATTCGACAGCTCACCAGTCAGGAGATGATGCGGAAATGCAAGCTTACTTGAAGCGTCCTCGCCTTCCTCATGCAGCGATTTTTGTAGTAGGTGGGTGGGAGGGGAATCAAGATGATCCGAACTTTGGTCCATCCCGTGCGATTCAGGTGTACAATTCACGGAGTAATACTTGGCGTCGAATCAACAACGATGGAATAGCTCTCGACGAAGGTCATGCTTATTCGGGCTGCGTACTATACAAGAATAAGATTTACGTAATTGGTGGATATATTGCTAGTGGACCCACTCAGATGCTCAAGGTGCTTGAATTGGCCACAGGGACGTGGAAGCACCTTTCTCCAATGCACGAAAAGCGTAATTATATATGCGCTTGTCTTCTAGACAACGCTATATATGCGTTGGGTGGACACAATGGCCGGCATCGTTTGAACACTGTAGAGCGCTATGACCCAGAGCAGAATAACTGGACGTTTGTATCACAGATGAGACAAGTGCGGAGCGACGCTGGAGCTGACTCTTTAAACGGGAAGATCTACGTTTGTGGCGGATTTGATGGACATCACTTTTACGATTCTGTTGAGTGTTATGATCCAAAAGTGGACCAATGGACTCTTTTGGCTCCGATGCAGAATATTCGAAGTGGTGTCAGTGTGACTGGTTTCAACAATTGTCTCTATGCTATTGGTGGAAATGATGGCCTGCAACGGTTGAGAACAGTTGAACGATATGATCCGGAGACTAATCAGTGGCAAACAATGCCCTCGATGATTCGCCAGCGGAGTAATTTCTGTATTGTATCCATGGATGATAGCATATACGTGATGGGCGGATGGAGCGACGAAACAAACTCCACAATCGCTCTTGTCGAAAAGTGGGTCCCCGGGATGCACAGTTCCTGGGAGCAAGTGAAGGAGCTTCATTTACCAGCCAGTGCCAACTGCTGCTGCGGAATAAAAGGTCTTGATGTAATAAAGGACTTTCTATGACAAGAGGCAAATTCTGAATGGCTGCCTTATTCTTCCCCTAAGTAGAACATTGAAAAGTCTATGCCTCTGAATGTGAATGCATCGTCTGCTCATTCTTATGATTTGAAATCTTCAAAGTACAGCAGCAAATGTAAATGCAGCAGGACAAATACAAGGAATCCTGCGACTTTCTTAATCATACTTCGCCACTTTGTACGCCGACCTTTTGATTCTTCTATCAGATGTTTAATTTAGTCAACTTTATTGGGTACAATGACTGATTTAATTTGAATGCCTAATTCATTATTTTCCGGAAGATGTAAAATCTGGTGCAGGGATTAAAAGACTCCGTTTCTTTCTTCGTTTCATGGAGCATCAAACTTCATTGCACTACTGACTTCGTGTCCATGGTGCATGCATTGCCACCTCTGTCGATGAAAGTGACTTACTTTGTTGTCAAGCCAGAAGGAATTTCTGTTTTGCTTTTATATAAAGTCCCGACTTCTGTTGTGAGCCTTGCGGTTGGAGTGCAGCATGACTTCCAAACCGCGATCCTTGTGTGAGTATGCTAGTGTCCATGCGAGTGATGTGTAGGTGATCAGTCCCTTATAAAAGTGATGAAATACACCGTAAAGTGTTGTTGTCTATTGTGTGAATATTCGAGATAGCTGGGCATTCGAGTGGGAGGCGGCTGATTTTTAAAGTGATGAAAACAGTCCACTTAAACTAATTGTATCATCTCCATAAACTTGGCAGTATCTTTAATGGGGTATAGAAAAATTCTCTATTCGAGCATCTTATTTAGTCCTTTCTCAAAAAGTGGATTATTTTAGCTCCAATCAATTGTCTAAAATGTAAAAACTGAATAAATTACCATTTCTAACATAATCTCAGTTACCAAATGAAAGTGGAAATCAAATTGGCTGTTCTCTGTCCTTCACCCTGCATTGCAGACCTATTGCTCTGGATTCGAAATTCATTTTTCATTGCTTTACCATGAAACTGGTAATACTTCAAGCTTTATACAGTTTTTAACTTATGAATAGCCAGTGCTTAAAACTGCAAAACAGTCGCGGTATCCCAATAACTGTACCGCTGAAGGTGGGGAATTTTATACCCAAATCTTACCCGAGGCGTGTCTAATAAAGCTGAAGTGCTTTGCGGTTACTTGCCATAAAGAAGTTTGAGTTGTCCCGGTGACATTAGTGGGAGCTACATATTAAGGGCTAAGTAAGGCCATCACTAAACCGCAAAAACTGGATAGCCTAGGCTGCAAAGAATCCATTATCCGTCAATATTAGTGTATCTATTGGAGTTTAATGCAAACTTGGTCACCCTTCCCCAGGGTAGCCAACCTTAGTTACATATCGCCCACTACGTAGTAACAGATTGCGAAGTCTTGCTATGAAAATTTAAGAACCCCTTTAATATACAATATTTATCTGTGGGTTACTGCAATGCTAAAAACAATGTCTTTTGTTTTTACCGAAAATCCAATTCTCTCCGGTGAGTTTGAAGAAGTCGCAAATAGTTCACGGAAAGGTATAAGATTTAATGCAGCATTTGAAACCTTCATAACCAAGCATTAATATACGAATCAGGCAGGTGGCTTGCAGGACTCTCGGTAACGGGTGGCGCCGCCAGTGAGTCACCTTGATGGGATAAGCGGTTTTGTCACGGAACCATATTATCTCTCTACACTCCTTGCGGTTTACGGTCGCCTTGGTACCCGAACAAGCAAGTATTTTCCCATTTCGCCTTGATGAATATAGCGAGGCAACACAAACAAGTCATCAAATGCAATCGTTATTCTGCCTTTGGCGTCCCTCGTGGGTCTTATAATCTGCCATAACTTATCCAGGGATCCAAACTGGTTGCTGCATATTCTTTCATATCACTTATTTTAATGCAGAGACGCCTCAACGGCACATGTTTCTTGTACCTTACCTAAAAGCATCTGCTTTCACCAAGTTGTGTACGCCTATACTAAACAAAAAGTTGCAGAGACTGTATCAAACCATGCGCATAAATAATAGATGTTGCTAACAAAACATCAAAGACCATATCAAACCTTGCAAAATTCATAGTCATTTTAATCTGTTTTGCATTACGCTGCTCAATTTAGCACGATCATTTTAAAAGAACCTGAAGCTATATCCCTAAGTTATACTACTCATGAGGTAAATAAGTAACTCGTATTTGTTTTAGGTAGGTCGAAATACATGGAATATTTGCCAAAAAATCCCAAAATTGTAAACTTGTATTTTAAAAATTCTATATTTAGTGCTCGACTCATAATAATTACTTACTCTTGCATAATTACTGGTCTGCTTTAGTGTACCTGCATGGAATCATGCAAATCATGAAATCATACTTTTGAGGTAAGTGTCCTTAAATATTGTCCAGTAAAGTAGAAAGTAATGCACATGATAATTTCAAATGTACCGGCGCTCCTTGAAGTGCGATATTTTGAGGACGGTCTTAACATCCTTTTATTATTGCTGTCTTGAGTATAATTAAAAGCGAGCGAAGAGGATAGAGTGAATGCTACGTACTAGTTACGGGTCTTTTATTTAGCCACAATAAAAGTGGTTCTAGCCGCCTTTCCATTTGATAGTGCTTAATATCCCAGCTCATCACTGTTGGCCTGCGCTTAGACTGGTGTCGTGATGAATAACCTCTTTCCTGTTGACAGCAAATGTCAGTTTCGACATCGTGTAGACAAGTTAGTCATGTCAGCTACAAATAGAAAGCGCGCGATTTGCACACATCCTGCATGCCCTTTATTTTCTACCTTCCAAGTCTCATAAATCGCAACGCGCATTCTAGTGGGTTTTATTCCTTAACATGATCATATTGTACAGGCTCCTAAGGATTCATTTCACTGATGCCTTCTTGTACATGGGGTGCACATGACCAAAACCCAAACTTAAAGGAGGAGCCATAAATCTAATTATAGAATAAAGGGGTCTTCGACAGCCTTTTAACAATGTCTCCTTTTTGAACTTCATTGGTGCTTCATGTACGCACAGAAAGATTTGAATGGAAGCCTTCCGTGTGCTGCTATTTTTAGCGTTAAATGGATTGCATGATGCAACGCTGAACGATCATTTGGTTGAAACCCCAAACCATGACTCTTCGAGCATTAAGTTATAGTTATCCATCGGTATAACTGACCTCCGAGACACTTCCCTCACATTATATTAGTAGGCAATGAACGGTTATTTTGACAGCTCACAAAAGGCTGCTTTATAACTCCCTATGAACTAATCAAGTGGTTATTACTAAAAATCTCAAAGGACTTAAAAAGGAGGATCATCTTGAAAAAAATTGCTTGTCAAAGTACGCAATGTCTTCGGGGTATACTTTTTTGACAAAGTGGTTAATTTTGATCTGACAGATGTGACTGTGCTGTTTAACATACCCATGTCCAGTTATTTCTTCACATGCACCCCACTTACAGCACTGGCCTTAACATATCTTATTGGGATGTTATTCCTGCTTAACCCACTATTCGGCACCTAGTAACAACGTCACGCCCGCTTCCAGACAG